TATGATTATTATTATGATTAATTTAGTATTATATGACCTTGGCCTTGATTATGTGCAGAAATAGTACATATTTTATAATAGGAAATAAGTTGATATAGTTCATTATTTCCTTTGAGCCAGGACTTAAAATTTTTTCCTTAGTTGTTTGTATTGTATATACATACTATTTGATTTATACATTAAAATCTACAGTGGAGAATAAATTTAAGTACTTCACCTGTTTCTATAGAAAATACCCCATATTATGAACTCAGTGGATTACTTTCTACAGCTTCAGCTGGGGCTCTTTTGATGTGACAAAATAATTCAACTAAAAAATAAACTCAATACAAAGAAAGACTCATGAGCCATTTGGGTTATGAAAACTGACTTAAGCAGGCACACGACTCATAAAAGTTTTCACAGATATACTAAATGTTGCATTGCTTTTTAAAGTGCATTCACATATCTTAAATCCACAAAGACAATGTAGATAGGATTGATTCACAGAACAAGTGTTGTGTTTCACTTGTAAATGAAATCAAATACTAGAAAGTGAAGCAATATTACCACATGAAAATTTATGAAGATTAGTCTCGCATATTGATTGGATTTAGACGGTTAATTTCAGCTATATTTTCTAAGAATTATCATAACTTAATCAATTAATTATGTCTATGATCCAGGGGATCAAACACAAGAATTAACAGATGAACTTGATTAGTTTTAAGTGAATTACACTAGGTTTATTCTGAATAATTACAATTAAAAATATGAAATTCATGCGGTATATGTGGTATAACTTGGAACTTATTTCCCTTTAGTTAGTGATGTGAGGATAGGGATACCTTGGTCAGGAATACTTAATTACAAAAAGTTAAACTGTCACCTGGAATTAGCCTTATTCCATATCAGTAAAGAAAATGATGAAGTGATTTTTTTTTCTTTTTGTACCAGGGATTGATCTCTAGACTTTCTGCTTGTGAGGCAGTTGGCAGAAACATTTAGATAAATCCCCAGCCCATGAAGTGATCTTTTAAAAGTAAAAGTTTACCCCTTCATAAAAAGGGGTCAGACTTTAATTTGAGTCCATGTCAAATGGAGTAAGACAGGGAAGAATCACACACAGACGAGCACACACACAAAAAAAACAATTTTAGCTTTGAGGCTGTTTTACCAGGAAGTTCAGGAGGAAAATCTTTCCTTTGGGACATTATTTTGGATTGACTTTCTCTAGATAGACAGTATCCTTACTAGTTATTCTACCAGATTTCTGAGAATAGTGTAGTAAAAGCTATTTGCACTTACATTCACTGACTTCCAACATAGGTTCTGCCACTTACAACCTAAGGGACCTTAGACAAGTCACATAAACTGCCTGAGCCTCTACATCCTATCTATAAAATAATTACAAAGCTCTGTCTCTCATGGGTTGCTCTAACAAATGAATCTTAGAATAATACATGGCAATAGAAAATGCCATGTATGAACACCCTATATGGGTTAGTTTTCCATTTTGTACCAATTGCCACACACTTAGGAACTTTAAACAACATTGATTCATTAGTCTACACTTCTGGGGTTAAAAAGTCCAAGAGAATTTATCTGGAGTCTCTGCTTAGCATCTCCCAGAACTGGGATCAAAGTACTGGTCTGGGAGTGCAGACCTTCTCTAGGTTTGTTCCTGCAGTTGTCACACATCAGTTCCTGCAGTTGTCCCAGCTGTCTTTCTGGCTGTTGTCTAGCGTCACTCTGAGTTCCTAAATGTTCTTACACAGGGTATCCTCTTCATGTCATTAGATTCTGATTATCTGTTCTTTCATCAGCCAGAAAACAAAAAACAAAAAAACTTTGCTATGACATGACTCATGTGATTAGATCAGGCCCACCCCTACAATCTTCCTTTCATTAGCTCAAAACCAATTGTTTTTCCAGTTAAAATAGCATAATAACAACAGTGATTTTTTTTACATCTCATTCATAGTCCCAGGTATTAAATTGGGAAACTTTGGAAAAGCAATTTATCACCTTGTTTATTATACTCTCAGTAAATGTTAGTTCATTTCCCCGTTGCTGCTTCCAGGAGAAACAAAGCTCTGATTGCTTTCCACAGACAGGACTCCTCTTAATGGGATTCAAGAAATTATCCTCTGTCCACACAATCTGCTTAAATCTGGTGTTCCAAAAGTCCATGCTGCCAAACTAACTAATGGATCTGCTGAAACAATAAGGAATATTCAAGGAGTAGCATAAAAATTACAAAAAAATCCATAAAACACATAGTCACTTGGATCATATCTACAGGTGTAGCTTGGCATCTAATGATCACTATACTATAAGACTATACTAAAGACTACACTATAAGACTATAAACTGTACTAATGAGTAAAGTCTTTTGAACAGAATATGCAATACAATAATGACAAGGATCAAAACAATATGCTGCTCTCTGTAAACTGTGCCTTTATTTAGATTGTTAGATAAAAGCCATGCTTAAATAACTTTAGAACTGGTTAATGTCTCAATTAAAATGTTAGAAACAGAACACTAAATAGAATTAGATGAAATCATGGGTTCTAGTCTTTACTCTTCCACTAATTCAAAAATCAAAACTGAAAACACTCTCAGGTAAGTATGAGAAGCCAGCAAAAGGGTTATCCCTCATCAAACTCTGGTTTAGGAGCCCTAGGTATTGGAGGTCAAAACCATTAGTAGCATGTTTCCTGAATCTGTGAGCATGACTCCAGTGTATGTGTTACATGTGCCTTCTCTGTTAATGCTATCCCTCATCATAATAACATTTTATTTTATTAAAAAATAAAATTATGTTCTCAAGTTCCATCCATTTACCTACACATGCCTCAAGTTTGTCTTTCTTTATGGCAGAATAGTACTCCATTCTTGTTATAGTTTGTGTCTAGATTTCCCACCAAAGCCTCAAGCAATTTTAGATGGGGCTTTTTCAAAGATGACTGAACCTAGAGTGTGTGATGCTGGGCTTAAAGGTGCTTGGTTACTAAACCAGCCCACTGATTGACTTGGCACCTCCCTAATCCCAGTTGTCTGCATAGAATAAAAGGAGCAGAAAGACTCTCCTAAGATTCTCTTGTCACTTTTGCTGTCTTCTGCTGCCATGAACTATTGCCCTTCTGCCACCCTGCCTTGGATCCAGCTGATTACAGACTGAAACCTCTGTGAACTGTAACCCAAATCAACCTTTTCCCCTTTATTTTTCCTCTCATTGAGTTTATTGGTACATTTTAGGTATACAGTACAGTTACATTCATCATTGGGATCTCGTACCTTTACATGACAGGTCTTGGTTCTCATTTGTTCCCCTTATCCCTGACCTCCCTTCACCCCCTCCTCCCTTCCCTATTTACAAATACTTTATTTCCATTTTTTCATTTTCTCATTTTTTTCCTTTTCCCTATTACCTTTCCCCTATCCTTCCCATGTCCCCTACGCCTTTATCCCTTTTCTTCCTATTTCACATTGCCAATTATATCATTAGGATCTTATAGTTTTTCACACCAGAGAAACCACGTTCTGTATTTATACATGTGTGACTTACTTATTTCACTTAGAAATATGCCCTCAAGATGTATACATTTTCCTATGAATGAGTCTAATATCCCATTCTTTATGGCTGAGTAGTATTCCATTTTATAGAAAAACCAAATCTTCTTTATCCAGTATCTAGCTGATGGGCAAATGGGCTGTTTCCAAGTTTTAGCTATTACAAACTGTGCTACTATAAACATAGGTGCACATACATCACTATAATATGATTCTTTTAATTCTTTTGGAAAGATACCTAGCAGAGGGATGGCTGGGTCAAATGGAACCTCTAAATCTAGTTCTTTGAGGTATCTCCATATTGATTTCCATAGTGATTGCACCAGTCTGCACTCCCACCAACAATGGAGAAGGGTTCCTTTCTCCCCACAGCCCCACCAACATTTGTTATTGTGTGATTTCTTGACAGCAGCCATTCTTTGGGGGGTAAGGTGGAATCTTAGTATTGCTTTCATCTGCATCTCTCAAATGACCAGTGATGTGGAACATTTTTTCCATATATTTACTTGCTGCCTTTACTTCTTTGTCTGAGAAATGTCTGTTCATTTCAGATTCCCATTTTGGATGGGGTCTTTATATTTGAGGGGGCCTGATTTTTTTTTTGAGTTCTTTATATAGTCTAGATAAGAGTCCTTTGTCTGAGGAGCAGCTGGTAAAAATTTTTTCCAACATTGTAGGCTGTCTCTTAGTTCTTTTGATAGTTTCTTTTGCAGTGTAGAAGCTTTTTAATAAGATGAGATCCCAGTTGTTGATTCTTTCTGCTAGTTCCCGTGCTACTGAGGATTTGTTCATAAAATCTTTTCCTTATGCCAATTTCTTCAAGAGTTTTGCCTAACTTATCTTCCAGCAAGTTTAGTGTTTCTGTTTTAATATTTAGATCTTTAATTTACTTGGATTTTAGTTTAGTGCATGGCGAAAGATAAGGGTCTAGTTTTAATCTTTGCCAGGTTGAAATCCAGTTTTTCCAACACCATTTATTAAAGAGGCTATCTTGCCTCCAGTGAGGATGGTTGGCTCCTTTGTTAAAGATGGGGTAGCTGAGTATGTCTGGAATTGTTTTTGTATCTTCCAATCTATTCCATTGATCCTCAGGTCTGTTTCTTTACCAGTACCATGCTGTTTTTATCACAGTGGCTTTGTAGTATAGTTTCAAATTGGGAATTGTTATACCCACCGCCATGTCTCTGTTGCCCAGGATGGCTTTTGCTATTCTAAGTCTTTTATGGTTCCAAACGAATTTTTGGATTCTTTTTTCTAGTCCTGTGAATATAGTGTTGGAATTTCAATTGGCATTGCATTGAATCTGTATAGCAGTTTTGGTAGTATGACCATTTTCACTTTGTTGATTCTTGCTACCCAGGAACAGGTGATATTTTTCCATTTTCTTATATCCTCTTTGATCTCTTTTTTCACAGTGCTATAGTTTTCAGTGTAGAGGTCTTGTGCTTCTTTCATTAGATTGATTCATAGATTTCCCCTTTTGCTTGGGAGTTGAGGTATTCTGTCTCAGCAAGGAGAGAAACATAACTAACACAATTCTGCATAAATACACATTTTACATATCCATTCATATGTTAGTGGACATACACACTGTTTCCATGATCCAGCTATTATTAATTATGTTTCTATATAACTGTTAAGATTTTACAAACCAGAAAAGAAAGTTTTAAAGTAGTTAATGGGTTTCACATTTGGTAATGTGGCAATGTTGCTTTCCAAACCCATATTGGTCTTATTAACTCACTTTACTTAAAGAATATTATACTATCTCCTATACTGATTCCATGACTATGACTATCTCTGTTGAATGAAATTTTGTTTCTCAATGTATTTATTTAGTGAACATATATAAACACATATATACAAATGTGCACATCTTCTCTAATACTGATGATTCAAAAATGCTTAAAGAGATGAGTCTTTTTATTCCATGTGTCGAAGCACTACAACAATTCCAGAAATCATTTCATGATTGGCAGAAGAGATAATTAACACTAACTAAATGTAACTGGTTGAATTTTTATCTCTTAACTCAAGGCCAATTTCTACCCATTCAGTGGCACTCCAAATCAGCCGCAGTCTCCCCGTGGACTTGCAAACACAAGTATTCTGAATAAACTGAACATGATGGTTAGAGAACTTCTGGAATTGAGTGAAAATCTTCAGCTATGAAGTTACTCAAGGTAAATAAAATGAACACAGAAAATAATGATGTCTGAGACTTCTGGTTCTGTTAAAACTAACATGGAGTTTCCTAAACTATATATGTTCCAATGTAGTAAAACAGTGGTACTTTGCCTGTAATAATTTAATCATAAAACCAGAGAGAGAGGGGCCAGTGATTTAGATCAATGGTGCTGTTTCCTGACTTGCAAGTGCAAAGACCCAACTTGAATCCCTGGTACAAAAAAAACAGAGAGACAAAAATCTCTGACATGTCTCTCCTACCCAATGGTTTATCTCTATAATAGTAGGTAGGAAATAGCATGTTCTCCATAAATATTTACTTATTGAATTCATGAAACACAATATTTTTAATTCTAGGGAACTTTCCAGTTATATACACAAAATAATATGAAACTTTAAAGTTTCCTCCTGTGATTCCAGGGAAACTAAGCCTACCATTAAGTCTCCTTATCCAAACATACAATAATTTAGTTTCTTCAGTTAAGAAAAGCTTTAGTCACCTTAATTTACTCTTAACATATTATGGCTAGAGAGAAATTTCCATGTATACAAGTAGTAATCTCTCAGCCTTTTCTCCAGTGGTCAAGTTTATATACTCCTTATCTTGCCAGAACATTTTAGCAGAACCTATAGGTTAAGAATCTCCCTTTATAACATCTCTACAAATGTTCAAAAGTCACCCATTACAAGATCCCAACAATGAATGTAAATGTACTGTATCCCTAAAATGTACCAATAAACTCAATTAAAGCTGAAAAAAAAGTCATCCATTATGCAAAAATTCTAATAGGCACAGTAAGATGGTTTATTTTCCTGAGAGCTTTGCCAGAAGCATTCTCTTCTTCCATATATTAGACCATTTTCCTATTTATTTTACATTGAAGAATGTTGATAGATTATAGTTTTAAGGGACTCATTTTTAATCCATGTAAAACTTATGTGCACACAGTTGTTTATAGTATTATAAATTGTTACCCTCCATATGACTTCTCAGATTGGTAATTATATCTCTTCTCCTCATTAGTTTTACTAGATATTTGTCAATATGATTATTGTTTCCAAATAATGAGTTTTTATATTCATTTTTTTTCTGGTTTTCTGTATTCAAATTCACTGATCTCTTATTTTATTATTTTCTTCCTTTCATTTGCTGTGAGTTTGTTTTGCTCTTTTTTTCTAAATTCTTTAGATAGAAGCTTAGATCATTGATTTGAAACTTGGTTTCCTAGTATGAAGGGGATTGCAAAATAAAATGAATTTTAAATTTCTTGACAAAAAGACTACAAGAAGAAAACACATGGCTAATACCATCCTTAAAATACTTTCCCTCAAAATTTTTTATGAATGGTTCACTGTTCTTTCCTTGTCAGCTTATAAACACAGTGAGTCTTTTCTCCTACTTTTAAAACTTTCCTTCTCCCAGTGACCTTCCTCTAGCTCTCTTATCCCAAATAACCTCACAATGGTGTTGTCTGTCCATGCCTCCATTGTCTATGTCCTTCACTTGCACACTGCTATTGTGCTTGTCTTTTCCACAGATTTATGCTCTATACAGATATTTTTATTTATATAATCCAGTCACTTCTGAATTGTCAAATATCATGAACCACTTCCAGGCTTTACCTTGTTGAAATATATATTTGAGAATGATAATATAGGGAATAATTAAAGATCAAGAAGCAGCCACTCAATCTGAAAATAAAAAGTATGAAACAAAAAACAAATACATTCTCTCATTTCAAACACACTTTATCCCATCATTTTTGCCACTTTCTAAAGCAGTTCTGGAAGTCCTCTCGTGTGTCTTTGGTTGTTCTGCCATGGCTGCCTCTAGGTCCTGAAACTTTTCAGATCTATTCTATTCATGGTCATTTTGACTTTGGCGAAGTCACACAATGTCAGCATTGGTGAACAAGGTGGATGAGGACACACCATAAAATTTTTCAAGCCTGCCTTTCCTTTGATGGCACTCAGCAGCAGCATTCACTGCATTTTTCTATCACACCTTCTAAAGACATGAAGGAGGACTTGCAAAACTCCTTCAGAAAGTGGTAAGAAGGATGAAAAATGATTATTCAAAGTGAGGGAAATTATTTCAAGGAGATTAATGACAATGTGTCGCTTTTTTCTTTTATTGAGTTTACTGGTACATTTTAGGTATACAGTACAGTTACATTCATTATTGGGATCTTGTACCTTTACATGACAGGTCTTGGTTCTCATTTTTTCCCCTTGTCCCCGCCCTCCCTTCACCCCCTCCTCTCCTCCCCATTTACAAACTATTTCAATTTTTTCATTTTCTCATATTTTTTTCTTTTCCCTTATTACCTTTCTCCTATCCTTCCCACTTTCCCTACACCTTTAGCCCCTTTTCTTCCTATTTCACATTGTCCATTATATCATTAGGATTTTATGTACTGTTATAGTTTATTCATACCAGAGAAACTATTCAGTATTTACACATGTGTGACTTATTTACTTCACTTAGGAGTATATTCTCAGTATGTATCCATTTTCCTACGAATGCATCTAATTGTGACTACATTTTTCATACCTTTAGTTTCCTTTTCTTGCCCTTGCTTTGCACCCATAATTCTTGGGTTTGTTCATTGGGAGTCATCTAGAAGTTCTTGAATCCAACTTTCATAACTTCCTGTTGTCTTTAAGAGTATGATAAAGTGAGCAATTTATAATATTCTTGTACTGATATCTTCTCATCTTATTGGTCATATTACAGTGATTTTCAATTTTGTCTCCGTTTGCAGGATTTCTACTCAATTTCTTTATATAACCTTTAATTAATTCCTAAAGTCATCATTTATATACATCTTTGTCTTAAATTCAATCAGCTGTTTCTTTTTTAAAGCTCATAGATAACTTATTTTTATTAGCACATATTTCTGGCACATAATGAATACATTCATTGTGAGTAGTTGGTACATGTACATAACATACATTAATTCTTTTTATATCCCTCTCATACACACATCTCTTGGTCCCCTTCCCATTTGTAAATGGTCTATATTTCTTTTTCCTATTGTCTATATTTTACTAAATTAAATCCATCATCTGCTATTTATATGCTTTTTTAACTCATTGAACATCTTAGTAATTTTTTCACACAAATTGTTTTTTCTTCTCTATCTCTTTAAGCATTTTAACTACTTTGTTTTTGAGTTATTTGCCTGGAACTTCTTTCACTTCAGTGCAAATGATATCAGCCTGAGGGGAGCTATTAATTTTTTGAGGCATATTATTGACAAATTTTCTCATGACTCTTGTATTTGTGCTAAATGTTGTAGATCAGTTGAGCTAGAAATCTCTGTCGGTGTAATAGAGATCACTTCAGTGAGTGTATCTCTCCCTTTATGTACCCTAGGGTATAGGTGTGATTCAGTGCCCAGACACATTCTTAACTTACTCAAAGTACAAGAGTTGGTCCCTAGCACTGAATTGCAAGAAGAGAACAACTGTTGATAGTATCAATATCACAAGAACCAATCAATTATTAGTGTACAACTTAGAGTTTAGCAAGCTTTCAACTCTTTTTTTTTTTCTCATTGAGTTTATTGTTACATTTTAGGTATACAGTACAGTTACATTCATCATTGGGCTCTTATATCTTTACATCACAGATCTTGGTTCTCATTTTTCCCCATACCCGTGTCCTCAACTCTTTTAATAACCCAGCAATTCAGTGGATTAGTAATGGGACAGAAAAGGATGGGAGAAAGGAAAAGATAAAAGAAAAAAGTTTTAAAAATAAATTTAAAAATAAAAATTGAGAAAAACAAACAGTAAAAAGAAACAAAAGCAGATGAAAAAGAAAAAGTAGTTTGGGGTGATATTATATTTATACCCAGAAAAAGAGGAAAAGGAAAGAGGATTTTAGAGGACATATGAGGGAGTAGATGGAAAAAAAAGGGAAGGGATTTTAGGTAGAAAACAGGAAAGTCTTTACAGCTATTGTACCCAGTTTATAAATTATCAGAAACCCCTTTAGAAGACATAAGCAACAGCCTTTTGGAAAGAAGAACCTGACAGGTCAATGTAAAATGTTATAAAATAAAAATAATAATTAATACTCATGTACAGTTGCTGACAAACATATGGTCTTCACAAACACTCTAAATAGAAATAAAGGAAATATTAAATGTTTGTAATTGTTTTATGTATAAGTAGAGGAAGAGAAGTGTGAGGAGACTGTGAAGGTGGACGGGAAGTGAGGAAGGAGAATGGGAAACTAGACTGTAAGTAAGTTGTGAAAGAGGATAGAGGGAGATTGATGCTAATTAGTAACCTAACTGAAAAATACATTTTAGAAATCCTATGAAATAACCCGTGGTGAAAGGAAATGAAATGTGAGATGTTAAAAGACTGTAGAGTTTAGATTAATTTAATAAGTTATGCATAAACGTGTAAAATGAACAGAAAGGGAGGAAAATATGAATAAAATTTAAAAATACGTATACAGTGGAAGAGCCAAGAGATAGGGGAAAGTATAAGGGAGAAAATAACCAAGGTAAGAAAAGGATGGACTTGTAGATGGGAGTTGACAGAAGAGGTAAGAACATTGTATCCAAAAGTTGAACTATCAAGACAGGTTATAGAAAATAAAAAAACAGCCTTTGAAGTGGGTATATGTATCCTACCTTTGTGGAATGTTTTTAAAGCAACAGTAGGAAATATATATACATAATTATGACCATATACACATAAATGCAATGGCCTGCCACTCCAAAAATCAAGCAAGGGGGATGGAGGTTTAGCTCAGTGGTGCCACCGCCTGCCTCTAGCAGGAGCAAGGGCCTGAGTTTGATTCCCCGGTACCAAAACAAAACCAAGCAAAAACCAAAGGAGAAAGAAGGGACACAGCCACAAATACACACACACACACACACACACACACACACACCACACACTCCCCTTGGGTGTTCTCAGAATGCTGTTGGCTTGCCATGGCTCTTCCACTAACAGATTGCACCTACAGGTTCCTAGTGGAGCTTCTGCCACAGGTTTTGCTGTTTTCTCTGCCCGGTTCACTGCTCTTGGCTTCCTACATTCCGTCTGCAGTTATGTACCAGTTCTCAGGCTGGCAACTTCAGGGTTCCTCGTCAGATAAGAGCTAATGTTACTACCACTGCATCCCATTCTCATGGGGTTTACTCTGGCCCCTTTAAACAGGGGTCAAAGCAATTCTCTTGCTTTTAATCTAATCTGGGATTAGTGCTTTTGGGAGGCAGATAGCAAATATCATCTACAGGTGATGATTTGCCTCATTTTCTCCAACCCCAGTGATCCTGCATCCCACTCGTTCTGTTTTAAAGGTGTGTTTTTTAGTCCACTGACTCACTGGAATGTGAAGCTCAGCTGAAGATTGCCCTTCTGCTTGCAATTCTGTAATGCTTCGGGGTGACAGCAGGGAGCTCACAGGGATGCACAGCAAAGTAATAATGTGGTGAGGAGAGTCAAGAGACTCAAGGGAGTCAAGAGAGTCAAGAGAAACCTGTAATTTTCAGTCCCACATAACCCTAAATGTGTGGTTCCAGGACCTTAATTGAAATCTTGCTCTCTGTGATTCTCTGACTTGCGCTTTCCTTAGCGCTGTCTTACAAATATCTTGCTCCTTTGGATCCGTCTCCCACTGGGAGTGCGCACTGGGAGGTGGCTGCCAGGCTGGTCACCTATTGATACTCTGGCATCTGCTGCTGCACTCACCTTCTTCCCTCAGAGAGCTTTGAAATTTTGCCAAGATGGCAGTATTATCAGGCTAGACACGGTGCCAGGGCGACGATCTGGCCTTGCTTCTCATTCTCAACACCGCTGTGACTGAATTTCGTCTGGTGGGTTTCTCCTTCAAATTGCCTGCCCAGGCTTGGGTTGTTCTCCCCCTGTATGCAAGTACTATACTTGTAGACCTTGGTGAGTGTCTTCTGAGAATCTTTAAACACTACAGCCTCTCGTTTTCCATGATGCTCCAAACTGGAAATTAATTTCTTATAGATAACATACGGTTGGCTAATGTTTTACTTTGTCATTTCTGCCAATATCTCATTTCATTTATATAATTAGACATTTTATATTTAATGTGATTATTGATATGTTTTAACAGATCTACTTTTTTATTATTTGTTACTAACTTTTTTGTTTTAAAATATTCTTTTTTTAAAAGTTTTTTGGGACTATTTGAAGATTCCTATTATAAAGTACTCCTTTCATTCTCTCTTGGATTTTTTTATTACATTTCAATATATTTTTAATGATTTTCTAGAGCATTACAATCTATTCATATTTATGTCCACTTAAAATTAATATTGCTCCAATTCAAATTGAGGATGGAAAATGGACCTCCATAAAAGTGTTTTAATTTCCTCTCATTGTTTTGTTATGTGTGTTACATTTTGCATAAGATAGTCTACAGAGGAAAACACAATAAATAGAAATATCCATAAAATCCATAAAGAAGGATGAAATCTAATCATTTGCAAAAACATGGATGGAACTAATAATCATTACTTGAAGTGAAATATACAAAGTACAGAAAGAAAAATACTGCATGATCCCATTCATATGTGAAATCTAAACAAGTCAATCTAAAAGAAGTTAAGAATAGAATGGTGCTTACCAGAGCCTGGGAAAGAGTACTATGAAAGGTGGAAGAGTAGGAAGGAAAGTACTGGAGAGAGGTTGATCAATGATACTAAGCTATTGTTAAACAAGAGCAAGAATTTCTGGTATGCTATTACATGGTAATGCAGCTATTGATAATGATAATGTACTGCATATTACCAACAGCTAAACTAAGCTAGAAGAATGGACTTTGGATATTTTCAAAATAGAGACATGATAATTGTTTGAACACAGACAAGTTTACCCTGATTTGAACATTACACAATGTATACATGTATCGAAACATCACCCCTTACCACATTAAGGTGTATAATTTTTAAAAAGGGAAAACACAATACATAAAAGAAAACCATGCTCATACAAATCATAATCAAATTACCGAAAACCAAATACAACCTACTCACCAAAAAACAAACAAACAAACAAAACTGGTGAAAGAAATCAGAGAAAAAAGCACACTGAAGGCATAGAAACAACATGAATGGCAATGGACTAATCAGGCACTAAGGAGGCCAGAAAGTAATAGGGAAACATTTTTTAAAAAGCTTAAGGAAAACAACTGTCAATTCAGAATTATACATTGAAAAAAAAAAAAACTAACCCTTAAGAATGAAAGTGAAATAATGACATTCTTAGGTGAAGAGAACTAAGATACTTATCATCACCAGCACACTTGCTCTAAAATAAATAGGAAAAAAAGTTGTTCACCTATGAGGAAAATTATATCAGAAAGAAAATTTGAACTTAAGAAATAAAGGAATAGCAAGCAAACTAGTAAATATACTTTTCCCCTTCAGTTCTTTAACACATATATGATGGTTGAAAGAATAACAAAATCATTGTCTGATGGGTTTTACCCCCTAGGTTTATTGAGGTATAATTAATAGAAATCACATATATTTACATTGTACACCATGATACTTTTGTATACATATATATTATGAAATGATTGCCACAATGAAACTAGTTAATATATACATAACAGCACAATTTCCTTTTTATATTTTAGTGAGAACATTTAAGATCAACT